ATCATGCAGACATGACCGAGACAGCTCTCCGGCCAATAACCAGATCTGGATACCCATGTTGGCTCCCACATGTTCCACGATGATCGGATGAACCACGATGCCGGGGATTCAATCAATCCCGTATACAATTCCCTTTGTCAATCGGTATGTTACTTGTCCGAGATTCGATCGTCGGTATCCCAATACCTTGTTCAATCTCGTTACCGGCAAGTCACTTTACTCGTTCCGTAATGCATTATCCCATGACTAACTACTTAGTCACATTGAGCTCATTATTATGATGCATACCGAGTGGGCCTAGAGATACCTCTCCGTCATACGGAGTGATAAATCCCAGTCTCGATTCGTGCCAACGCAACAGACACTTTCGGAGATACCTGTAGTGTACCTTTATAGCCACCCAGTTACATTGTGACGTTTGGTACACCCAAAGCATTCCTACAGTATCCGGGAGTTGCACAATCTCATGGTCTAAGGAAATGATACTTGACATTAGAAAAGCTTTTAGCAAACGAACTACACGATCTTGTACTATGCTTAGGATTGGGTCTTGTCCATCACATAATTCTCCTAATGATGTGATCCCGTTATCAATGATATCTAATGTCCATGGTGAGAAAACCATGACCATCTATTGATCAACGAGCTAGTCAACTAGAGGCTCACTGGGGACAGGTTGCGGTCTATGTATTCACACATGTATTACGGTTTTCGCTTAATACAATTATAGCATGAACAATAGACAATTATCATGAACAAGGAAATATAATAATAACCATTTTATTATTGCCTCTATGGCATATTTCCAACAAATTTCAGCTGGGAGGGCCTTCAACTTTGGCCCACATTGACATGCAAGGTCTTGATGGATGTAGTGAAAAACCCTATCAGCCAAATGTCATGCAACAAGGCCACTGCACCGGAGAATTTCACCAAGATCTTCATAAAAGATATTGGGGAATTATGAAAAACGACATCATATGAGGCATCCATCTTTTACGTAACCTCCATTTGGAGAATCTTCAATGGATAAATTCCGCAAATATTGTTTCATTGAATAGATGGGGGCGAAGGGACATCTCCATGGCCGACGCGATGGCGGAGTTCGAGGTGGCCCAAGTGAAGGAGGCGGTGGAGCAGCAGGCCGTCCTCGACTCCATCCGGTCTGAGGCGAAGGTGGAGGCCAACCACCGCTTCCTCCAACAGGCGGAGCTCGACGGGGTCTTCGTCGGAGAGGAGGAGGAGGGCGAGCCGGGGGTGTGGGAGGTGATCATCCACTAGGTAGAAGGTCCGTCCGGCACTCTTCATGGATTTGGTATATGAAATGCCCGACGATGAGTAGTATAGGCTAGTTTATGTTATCTACGTAGTATGTAGATCATGTTTTGCATGTTATTTATGGATTTGATATATGAAATATGAAATAAAAGGTATTTGGTTGCAGCAGACAGAAAAATAGGGTGTCCGGTCACTCTTCGTGGACACGGCCGAATGTGTCCATGGACTATAAGGCGCCGGATTTGATATATCTGTTTGTAGATGTTCTTAATCTGCTTGCTCTGCTTAGCGTGCTTCCCTCCTGCCCAAGACAGCAAAACCGTCTGAGATACCTTAACGTATAGGGTGTGGACTACACTATAAAGATGGCAATACTCACCCACTAGTCCACTACAAATTAATCGACACAAAATGATGATACAAGTGGTATCTGATCTCTCGTCCATGTAGGAACAAAACGGGTCCTGATGTACAGTACACATGCTCTCCATCACTAGTTAATCTCGGTGCATGCACCCTGGCATTCCTCTCCTCAATCATGCCGCCGCAAAGAAATCACGGTCCGTACACCGGTATACACGGCTCAGAGAACCGGAGCGTACGTGCACGAAGCACCGCAGAGCGCAGAAAACGTACGATACGTGGCAAAACAAAGGAACAAAAATCATGCGTGCCCGTGTGCGTCTGTGTTCACGAGCCACTTGGAACCGACGGGAGTATCGTAATCGTACTCGCGCGCGTCGCGTCGCCATGCCGTGTCTCGTCCTCGTGGCGTATGATTGTGCCGGTGGTGCGCGGCCTGCATCCGGTCCGACAAGAACGCCTGGCCGCTTGATGATGAGTGGGGGAGAGGAAAAGGATGGCGCGCAAGCCAGCCCCGGCCGACCCAGCCCACGTTCTCCCGCCCTCTTTCGAGCTGGCGGAGGAATCTTGTGCTCGTTCCCCTCCAATGATCCGCCATCGGTTAGGGTTTAGGAGATGGTTAATGCGCGGTTCCCCCCTCGCACCATCGTCGCTGCTGTACAGCAGTTGCGAGATCGACGGGGACGAATCATTGGGCCGAGGCCGGCGAGGTTCGCTGATTAATAATACGAAAGCCGCAACCGACGCACGTATCATTTAGGAATCCGCTTTGCCGTGCGTTCGTGTAGGTTGTGGCGGCCGATCTTCTCCCTCGTCGTGATACGGCGAGCACATGCGCCGGATAATGCCCGATCGCCCGTGTTCAAGGGGCCGGGATACGCGTGGCTAAATTATTTGCTATGCTGGCTCGGGGTGATTAGATTAGATGATGATACCCGGAATCTGGTGGTTAGAGAGAGGCTCTCCTTCCGTGCGCATTCGTTCCATTTGATCCACCTATCTATCTATCCGAGCTTGTGACAAGTGGCCAATGTGCAACAGGAGAAGTACGGCGGGAGGGCATGATCTGATTCTATACGAATCATCGCGTCTCAAATGCTTGATCTATCCATCTATCTAGCTGATAGATAGACAGCCACGTTCTTTGCACCAGTGCCGGTGACACTGCTGCAAGTTTAAGGCCGGCTGGTGTGTCATGTGCGTGGTGATGTGCAGCACCATTGTTTTCGGCTGCCCGGACATGTTCCAGATTGAGATGTAGTATATCCAGTCCAGCAGGGAATGAGTGCATGCATGCATGCATGAACCTTATGGCACACCATGCGTTGCTTTGTCCTACCACGATGAGCAGCCCTCATTCTGCCCGGCTTGCATTGCATGAACCTCAATGATCTGACCTGAATGCACGCAGCATCCCCGGCCCTTGACCGCATGGTTGGGCCCTACGCGTCCATGCCGAGCTATCAGGCTTTGCATGATTGGATAATCACCCAAGACCAGCCGAGTATTCCGCATGCAAATGCAATGTGTCAAATTTTGCAGGCACACCACCACTCGGCGAGTAGCAGGCCAGCCGCTTTTCGGTTTTCGCCTGGTTTTTGGTTAATTAATTAGACAATTCTCTTCTTCTTAATTAATCGATGAGTCAAATCTTTTGCCTCGATTTCGAAAAAAAAAGCAAGCCAGCCGCTTTCCAGGAATACGGAGACGAGCAGCCGCTTTCCATGTTCGGACGGACGTAATTTCTTCTGTCAAATGGGCCCGTTTAAAATAGCTAGTCGTAACTTGTTACTTTGGATACCTATGCAAGTACTCAGCTTGTCAGGTTACCTTTCTCAGCCGACGGCATCTTTTTTCTCACTGTGAGTGCTTGTCAGGCGTTCAAGATCTCTGACGGAAGGTACACTGCTATATGTGGCACCAACCCATTTACTACGCAATCAGTCGCCATTGACCGTCTCGGCAATATACTGCGACGCGTGACTGCCGTAACAGAAACCATGGTGCACCTTGGCATTGCAAAGAGAGGAGACGTGCCACCCCGTCGCACGGACTCGTGACGGAAGCCAGACACAAAAAAACGGCGGATCGATTGGCCTTTACCAATCATTCACCGGCAGTCGAGTACAATAGACATTGGACGCACCACAAGAGCAACAAAAAACGGCCGGCTTCCCCGTATAATGACAGCACAGTGTTAGTGTACGCCACGACCACGAGAGCTTGATCTACGCCGCTGCACAACATGGCTAGGCCAAAACGGGGCCACGCTACCACGCATTGGATCGTCGTCACCGGCGAGGCTCACTGCGTCTCCCCACACTACGTACGTACAGTAGGTCGACAACACCAAAAAACTCGCCGGCCCCGGTGCATGTTTGGACCGATCGACCGGAGTACAGATCCACATTAAAAACCTGCCCCAACCCAAAAAGAAAGAGAAAACCCTGCCGCGGAACGGAAGGAGTGGGAGGAACGAACGAACGAGCCAACGATTAAACGAAGCGCCGGCACGATCGGGGACGCGTACAAATCCGCATCCGCTCAACCAACTCCGGGAGACATGGCATGTGCGGCGGGCCCCGGCGCGCCCATTATTCCGATGCCAATCTTGCGGGAAAGCACCCCACTTTCCGTGCCCGCCGAGCTACCGCGACCCGGGAGAGGGACGGGCGCGCGGAGGAGGGGAGGCCGGCCGCGGGACAGCCGTCGTGCGGGTAATGTGCACCGGTGCTGGGTCGGGGAGGGCCGATGCGGCGTCGGTCTCGGCGGAGGGTGGGACGCAGCGCATGATGGGCGCATACGTACGTGGGCGACGTCCCCGCCGTGCCCTCGAGATGAACGAGCGAATGGATGGATGGATGGATGGATTCCACTTCCACCACATCCACATGCGTGCCTGCCAGGTTGGTGGATTGCACCACAGTTCCTTGAATAGCCGGTGCAGGGCTACGGGGCAACATCGTGTTGGGGCTAGCCTGGTCCATGTGTTGGGGACTTGGGGCTAGGCCGGCCCGGGTCCTGCTCACATTTGGTGGCAGATGAATCAAGGCTGTGCCTGTGATTTCGCAGAGTTGTTCGGCTCATTGACTCGCAGAGTATACAATGTACGAACTGTGAATCGTGCAAGGTTCATTCACGACTGGCCCCTTGTAGTGCTGCGACAGTGTTACAGACGGGACAGGTACAGCAGCAGTAAAAGTGCAGTTTCACTGGAAATAAAGATGAATCCGTCCACCAATCCACACTAGACTGGATCCATGTACCGCAGCAACGAAGACTTATCCTTCAGATGCGAAATGTGGAAGCATGGGGCCCCAGTTTCTGAAGAGCATCCAACGCTTGACGCCTTCGTCATCCTAGACCAAATCGTCCCACCAATGCGTCTCTCCCATTACTGTTGTAATAATGAATGTGCTATTTTCAGTCACACCGATAGGAATCCTTTTCAGCTTTCCACAGCCTCTCACCTTCAGGTCCTTGAGAGATGGCAAGACTCCTCCACACACGCAGCTAAGCTCCGGAAGCTCCCACAGCTGCAGTGACTGTAACCCTGGAAGAGCAATTTCTGCCGCGACTGATTCGTCGAAAACCCTCTCCAGGCTATCACAGAACCTTATATGTAGACTGCGAAGCTTCGGCAGGCGTAGCGACGAAGGGAAGAGGAAGTTCAGTCTTGGACAGCAATCGAGGAGCAACTGCGCCAGACAACTGAAACTCGTCGCATCTTCCACCCCTTGGCAGAAGTATGCTAAATTGTCCATGTTGGAGATAAATATATTCTGCAATTTTCCTATTCTAGACAATTCATCAACTTCTTCCCGGGAGAAAAGATTCTCCAGCTGGCGACATTCCTCTATCCAAAGTTCTCGTGCTGCTGCCAGTCTTCCAATATTCAGATTCCACACTTGATCTGTTGTTGTTACGCTTCTTGATGATATCAGCTCAGCATGACCAAGAATCTCCTCAATACCATTAGGAATGCTGACACAGTTCATCTCCAGATACCGATCGAAATCACCGGAATGCGCGTCCACAGAAGAGAATTTTGTCCTCACTGCTCTCAAGCCCTTGTGCATGGTTTGATCAAACTTTGAAGAGGAGATAACTATGTGAAACTTTTGGAAGCAGGTTAACCATAGTGGAGATTCTTTATCCAAAGACCGAAAGAAATTGGCCTGACTTGCATGTATGTACGTTTTGCCGTTCTGATCTACATCTTCAGAGACCTTCATGACAAATCTGTCAGACAACTCAAAAGCCAGCCCGCCAGGCAACCAAATCCAACCCACTAGATCCTCCATACTTGCCCCTATTTGTACGTTCCTTACTGCACCTGTTTTTGAAACTCCATAAGGGAACTTAACAAAAATTGCATTGCAGGACTTGTCATTTGTTTCTGTAGTTTGCTGAGATTCAAGACATGGGCAATCGTGTAGTATGAGTTGTTGAAGTCCGACGCACGCAGCTAGAGATGGCAAGCATGCAATAGAAGTCCGGGAAAGGTCAAGAATCTTGAGCACCCTCATACGATCAAATGATCCACACTCTACCCTTTTTAGGGAACCACAACTTGATGCATCAAGTATTTCAAGCATCTCCAGTGAGCTTATGTGCTGAATTTTCTCCAAGTGTCCGCATCCAACTAGTAGCAGCGACCGGAGGTAAAACAAACTAGAAATGGATTGGGGCAGGATGATGATTCGAGTAAACGATAGGTCTAGCACTCTAAGCATTTGCACACAACAAAAAAATTCTTCCGATATAGTTCTCATATGGCGGTTTCCTCTCAAAAGTAGCGTCGAAGTTGAAAAGCACTCGGCACTTGGACTTCCATGGAGTTCTTCCATTTTTGTGTTCATTAAGGAAATTTTGCCGCCCAACTTGGCTAGATGCTCAAATTGAATGTAATCGTCAAAGTCCCATTGAGGCTGTTCCACATAGCCATTGTCCCGTCCAAGTTGAGATAACGTCTCTCTAATGACATCATGCATGCGGATATGATCATCACCCTCAAAATGAATCAACCCATGCTTTAAAAGCACATGGAGAATTTCCCTACCAGTACAGTTAGCCTCATCAGTGATACCCTCCAGCTTCCAGAAGAATATTAAGTCTTTGACAGAAATTGCTTCATCGTCAGGGAAGAGTAAACAGTATAGGGAACAGTGCCTAGCAGTATCACTGGGAAGCTGGCTGTAACCAAAATTTACAAGGCGATTCGCCGAGGCCACATGAACTTCACTGATTAGCTTGCTGAATTCCTCTTGTGTAGGCACATCACACAGTGCCCCAGCCAGTAAGATAACTGATAATGGTATGCCAAAGCAACAATTACTTAAGTCTAGACGAATATCTTTGCCAATCTTCTCGCACAGTAGGTCACATGAGGCCTGATCTGTAAGAGGCTGTGGCGATATAATTATATCTGGCTCCATGACTGACAGTACCCTCCTGGTTCTTGTGGTCACAATGACCTTTGAACCCAAACTCTGCTCTCGAGGATGAGGAATCCCCAAGTTCATTAAGATGTTTTCCTCGACAAAATAAGCATTATCAAGAACCAACAAAAACTTCCGTCTCGCGAGATGTTCCTTGATCATTACACTAATTCTGGATGATAACAGTTCCTCTCCGATGTCAATTAAAAGACATGTTGCAATCTTCTCGATGCACCGTCGCAGACTACAACCTCTAGACAATGATACCCAAATATAGTTATCAAAGCGATTTGAGTTCCTTGCTGTTTCAAATGCACCTTTTGCCACCCATGTCTTTGCCAAGCCACCAATGCCCTCAATGACAACAACTTCGCCTTCTGGACGAAGAACCAGGCAAAACATATCTTGGAGCGATGACAATCGAGATCGTGGTATAGTAATAGTAGTGGTTAACAAATGCCTCTCTGATTCCTGATAGCAGATCAAATAGGATGTCATGGCACCCCTCCTGTTTTGCCAGCCAGGGATAAAGTGTGGACAAGCAATCAACTCGTGCACCTGTATAACAGACAAATTTTTACATTGTTAACTAGTCGATGGTGTAACTTTCTGGGTGAATTTAGTGTCAAATAGTTTGATTTTTCAGCTCTTGACAATCAACCCTACACTTTATTATTGTTACCTTAGGCATTTCTTTAAATTTTGCAATGGAAATAGCGACCGGATTAACTGAAAAAATTATATATTTGTCATGAACGAAAGAACAGAAACAAACTCTTGTAAAGACCATATACTACGAGAGAATTCACTCATCTCTGGACAAAGCTTAAGGAGGTAACATCGAGTTTTACATACTAGATAGTTCCTTGTGGAGATGGACAACAGATGGGTACCTAGATAACTAGTATAGTTGAACATACTAGCAGGTTTAACTCGATATAGCTTTTGCTTCTTGAGCAGTTCTGACAGTCTTTCTTTAAGTACAACTCTGAAGTGAAATTCTCTATGTGTTGGGTCTCTTTGATTCTTTACTGGATCCAGAAGACTAATTACTGCATCTGCATCCTTAATGTCTTGTTTCATGTATGTTCAACTCGATGTTAGGCGTCTTTGATTCTCTACCGAATGTTTTTTCTTTGGTGGGTGCAGTGCTCACACTGTAAATCTTGATAATTTGCTGGTCGTCCGCCCTATCTTAGCCTTTTCTTCCCCGTGAAAAAAATGAGGTGCTTCCAAGCATGTTCCAGAAAAACCATAAGTTGGCAAATAATTCGAGAGAAGTAGGCTAGATTATCTGCTGCTGCTGGTGATGCAGAGAATGAGGTGGTAATTCGCAGGGAATTTCTCAACATTTTAGCATAACTTATGTTATACTCCCTCCGTCCCAAAATAAGTGTCTTAGCTTTATACAGTACTAACTTCTAGTACAAAGTTGTACTAAGCTTGAGACACTTATTCTGGGACGGACGGAGTATTATTACCAAGTTCGAAACTAAATCCCCTAGCTTTCCACTGCCTTTCATAACCTGTCAACTCTCGTTCAATCTAAAAGGAAATGCAGTGCTACTCAATGTTCTTAACAAAGTACTACTGTAACTCGGAACCTGTGGAATCCTAAACAAAACTGGATCTCGTTCCGCATGGAACAGAACTCGATTGGAAGTGAATTTGACGGTTAAATTGAAGTTTGGGGGAGGGGGGATTCTCAAATTTATTTATTTGTTGAGTGCTTTCTCCTAGCAAACTGGTGTTTACTATACTTCAGACAATAATACCTAGATATCGAACGAAATCTCCATTCACGAACCTCCGGTAGCCGAATGGCCGACCAAGCAGCGAAGATGAGCGGAGAGCTTGCTGATCAAAGTGCTGCGGAGGACCAGCGGATGGCCGGCCCTGTCCTAGTCTCGCTCCCTCTACGGCTCTACCACCCTCACTCGTGGTCAGTGGTCTCCCTGCGCCGCTCCGCCCTTCTCCCCTTCCCCGTTTTGAGTTCTTCGTTTGCTGGCCTAGTCTCCCCTCCAAGCAATAGCGAACGCGCTTGTTAGAAAAACCAGTCAAATTTTGACCAAATTAGTAAACTACTCCCTTCATTTTTTTGGTTTGCATGTAAGATTTGGTCAAAGTCAAACTTTGTAAAATTTGACTAGCTTTATAGAAAAAGATATCAACATCCACACTATGAAATCAATAATATTAGATGCTTGATGAAATTAATTTTCATAACATATAACTTTGGTATTGTAGATGTTAATATTTTTTTCTGTAAAGTTAGTCAAACTTTAAAAGTTTGACTTTGATCAAATCTTATATGCGGACTAAAAAGAAATGGAGGGAGTACAACAGGAAGCTTCTCTAAATATCTCTACTCCTAATGTCTGAGTTGGTAGAATAGTCTCCATGGTTTATTTTCGTCCCACCACTTTCAACCATTTTTTTGCTGGGTTTTTTTTCGTCTGTTCCCCCCAGCCCACCGGTTTAATTTAGCGTCACCCTCTCACGAAAACAATTTGAACGATCAGAACTTTCCATGCTAGCGCAAGTTATTTAGTAATGTCTTTATGTGAAAGATTCAATCACGATCAATCTCTAAAGATCAAATCTAAATTAATTAACCTTACCTTAAATCACTCAATCATATTAATTAGAAAATAAATAACTAATTAAAAAAATCTCTACTATTAAAGCAGAATCGAATTTCGTGATGGTTCGACCTCATTCCCCCTGCCTCCTTCGATCCCCTTCCGCTCCTACCTGAAAGAAAGATCTCCTCGCACAAAAGAAAAAATAAATAAAGCAGCCCAGGTACGCACGTCGTCCCGCGACCACCCGCCTGCTTCCCTCCCCCCACCAACGATCCAGGCGGCGTACCGCCCTATGCAACCACACCACCCTACGCCATGTCACCGCTCCACCGCTCCACCGCGCTTCATCTTTGTCAAGCCGCCGGGAGATGGGAAGCGGGCCCCTCCTCTATTGAGGAGGTTATACCAGAGGTTGCACAACTGTTCGGGAGGACAAGGTTGTCCATAGCCCAAGATCCCGGGAGACCGACCAAGCACCGACGGACGTCACTGATCAACTGAGGTAGCGGTGTGATGTCCATGTTCCCGTCGGCGAAGCCCCTCTGCGTGGTTGTCTTATGTGACTCCTCCGCAAGGTCACCTCCATGTAGGTAAGCTCCATGTCCCCACTCCGCCTCTTCTTATCTTGGACAGGCACGCGGCGACCCGGCTGACCCGTCGTTGGCCAGTGGCAGAGGTGTTCGAGGAGTTCGTCCGGGAACTGCGCATGGAGTGTCGGGGGTTGGGTGCGACATATTCCAAAGGATGGTTTATCATGGTGGGAGCGAGTAGAACGTCGCCGGTGCCAGGAAACAGGATGAGGTGAAGACATGCACACCGGCGGATCTTAACCAGCTTCGGGGCTCTCCGGGGAGATAACACCCCTACTGCTGCTCTGCGAGGTTTCCGCATGATCACTAAGGCATAGTGACTACAAGGTTGCTCCTAGAGCTATATTCTGGAGGTAGGAGAAGGCAAGGCTAGCTCTCTCCTTCCTATATGATCTGGTCTAATGCTAAATGGATTCGAACCCTTTGCATGGGTGCCCTGGGGGGTTTATATAGGCCTACCCCCGGGGGTACAATGGTAATCCGGCTGGGCGCGGGTCCAAGCCGTCTGTCTCACAGGCCGCCGTCTTCTCCGCCGACTGCTGGGGCCCGCCGACTAGTGGGCCCCGCCGACGGGTCCGGTACTGTAGCCGTGCTTCTAATGACGCAGGCTTGGTCATGGGGTCATGGCAAAAGTGCCACCGTCTATCGGGCAATCACTGTCGTCACTCCCCGTCTTGTTTGGTTAATGGCGCGTGGGACCCGTGGGAGAGGCCGGCCGACTCTAGGGAGCCGACTCCCACTGGGCCGCCTTCGGGGCGTATCCGCCGTCTTCCATGCTCTCACTGACAGACGGGTCCGCTGTCTCTGAGCCGTACAAGTAGGCCATCGTGGCCACAATGCGCCGCCCACTGTGGCTGAGGTCAGGGCAGGCATGGCAACAGTGCCGGCCACGCCGGAGATCTCCAGCGGTACGGCACACTGTAGCCATGCCGGGCCCTCGCAAGAAGGAGGTGACGGCCACGCCGTGGTCGTACCCGCCTCGCCTATCGTGACGAGAGTGGAGTCGCGGGCTGACTCTCTGTAGTCGGCTTCTCCGGAAGTCGCCGTCTGGGACTCGGCTTATCTTGGAGTCGCCATCTGGGACTCGGCTTATCTTGGAGTCGCCATCTGAGACTCGGCTTATCTTGGAGTCGCCATCTGGGACTCGACTTATCTTGGATTCGCCATCTGGGACTCGGCATATCTTGGAGTCGCCATCTGGGACTCGGCTTAAGGGGCGCAGCCTGCCCCGATGTCTTGAAAGGTTCTGGGCCTCGGGTTAGCCTACCCATGGCCCATTACTCCGACAGTAGTCCCCAAAGCTGGTGAGGCTCCAAGAGTGATACGTCGTGGGGCCTCAACAGTTTCATTCTTCCAATGGTGGAGTCTGGGTTTCGCTTGCCGTCTTCCTCCGGGCCGACTACCCGAAGTCGGATCTGCAGAGGACCGTCTTGCTCTTTAAAGAGCTTGAAAGTCGTGGCGGGAAACCAGGCGGTGTGCCTGATACGCTTCCCTGCGGCCGCCCGCCGCGATCCCATCGCGCAGTGCCATGCGGCGAGGACAGTCTGCCTGCCCACGCACGCGACGGGACGGGCCGTCAGGCG